TATATATATATATATATATATATATATATATATATATATATATATATATATATATATATATACATATGAATATGTAAATATAAATAAATAAATATAAATATAGATATAAACGAATAAATAAATATAAATATAAATATTACTATCACAGAGCTGAAACGGCAAAAAACAAAAAAAACAAAAAAAACAAAAAAAACAAAAAAAAACAAAAAAACAAGCAACTAACTAAATAAACAAACTAAACAAACTAAACAAACAAAATAAATAAACAAACAAAACAAAATAAATAAATAAATAAATAAAATAAATAAACATATATCTTACAATGTGTAATACTAAACTATGTGTTACTATCACAAAGCCAAAACGTCAAAAAACAAAAAAACAAAAAAACAAACAAACAAACAAACTAAACAAACAAACCAACCAAATAAATAAATAAATAAACAAAATAAATAAAATAAAATAAATAAAATAAATAAAAATATCTTACAGTGTGTAATACTAAACTCTGTGTTACTATCACAAAGCCAAAACGTCAAAAAACGAAAAAACAAAAAAACAAAAAAACAAAAAAACAAACAAACAAAACAAAACAAACAAAACAAACAAACTAAACAAACAAAATAAATAAAATAAATAAAATAAAATAAATAAAAATATCTTACAGTGTGTAATACTAAACTCTGTGTTGCTATCACAAAGCTGAAACGGCCTTCGGCAGTTTTCGGGTTTTCGCGAGGCCCACCAAAGAAAACCACATAGAGGGGGTTGTGTGTTAGCTGCATAAAAAAAAAATAAATATAAATATAAATAAATAAATAAATATAAATAAATAAATATAAATAAATAAATATAAAAATATGTAAATTAATATGTAAGGATGAGTAAATAGAAAGGGAGAAAGAAAGCTACACATTGATATATAATATACACATAAAGGGGGCTGTGTGTGTGCTGCATAAGAATATAAAAAAAAAAATAAATAAATATAAATAAATATAAATAAATAAATATAAATATATATATATATATATATTTATATATAATAGATTATATTATTTATATAATATAAACATATATAATATTTATGGTGTATGTGTAGAAACATAAAAATCATACACCGTAGCTGCATGCATACAAAACCCTAAACCCTAAACCCTAAACACTAAACCCTAAACCCC